AAGCCACTCCCACAAAGGAGGCCACACCCACAGAGTAGGTTCGAACAATTTTTGAAACCCACCACTGTTATACTGGATGAAGGGAGGTATGTAAATGAAATAAATAAAATAGGAATTCTTCACACCACATTGTTGCTGGTCATTTAGTCTCCCTTATGCTGTAAAAATAGTGTACATAACCCTCCCCCCCGTAAAAATGAATATTCACAGCTTTCAATTTCATCACCCTCACCACCACCTTCTACGTCCCCCTGACCACTTGGCTCAGAAGGCAGAACCTGGTACCTGTTCTAAGGCTGCAAGGTTGGTTCTCAGAGCATCGTTTTCAGACAGAATGGTCTCAACCTGTTCCTGGCTCTCCGCACTTTGGCACGCAACCTGAGGGCCCATGAAGGACAGGATGGGCAACAGAAAGGAAAGAAGGAAAGAAAGAATGAGAGGCGGGAGGGGAGGGGAGAGCAAAAGCAGGAGGGGAGGAGAAAATAAGGATTAAAAATAGAGCAAAACATGGAACTAACAGCCTTGGGCAAGGGTTGTGATTGGTTTTTATTTTGTTTTTAGAGAAAGCAAGCTTGGAAACCAAATTTTAAAAAGAGACACATCAATTGCTATGAAAATAAAACAACGAAATGACCACATTTAATTTACACTTACAAGGACAAGGCACAGTTATTAGAGACTCAGCATAATCACCAAACCTGTTTGAGAGAAGAAGGAGGTTAAAATAAAGAAAGCAAATTAAGAGCAGGGAAAAGTCCATGGGAGGACAGGAATCAAAGAGAAGAAATTGGAGAATTAAATAGAAAGGAAGAGAGTCATTTCAGTGTTACGTTCCCAATAGTAAGAGCTATGATGTATCAGGACAGGCCTCCTGGGTAGAAACACTCCCCCCCTTCAAACAAATAAGGGGAGACACCCCAAATTTAGCCAACAACTCACTGTATATTATGAGTGAAGCAATGTGTGCAACCATTTCAGCTGTAAATTACTGTATTTGAAGGAAAAGGATTTCCAGAAAGTATTTAGATAAACTGTTGGGCCTTCATTAGGCCCTTCCACCCAAAAATTGACCCTCATTGTCTGTAGTTTCTAAAGCAATGTTAAATTGCAGTGGGCCTGAATATTAAAGTATTGTACTATTGAATAAGGGGTTCTTAGTCAGGCTTAGTCAGGCGTACAAAGTATAAAGAGTAGTCAGGAGTGTGTAGTGGTGCTCAAGCCAAGAACAAAGTAGAACCAAGGTCTGTGATTGACAGGGAGTTAATGTTAGTGTTGAGGACTCGGAAAGTCCTCGACTTACGACCTGGTGGCTAACAACCAGCCAAGCCGCGCCCTGATTGACTAGGGCGCGGCTTGGCTGAGCGCGGGCCGCCAGGGGCGCGCTCATCGGCTTTCCCTGCTTGACAGCTCCGTATAAATAGCTGTCAAGCAGGGAAGGTGCTGAATCGCCTGTAAATAGTTACCTTGAATAAACCGTTCTCGTTCTGGCAGTTCTGGCTCCAGTCTCGTCCTTCCGCCGATCCACTAAAGTTAGGAGCTCTGTATGTTACACTTTGACGCACAATGTCATTTTAAGTACACATTACTTTCCTCCGGCACGATCTTTTTCCATATATTTTCTACTCCCTCAAATATTCCACACACCCACATTTCAGACCACACTTGCTAAGAACCGGTGTGTTCCACCATTATGAAGTAGACAAATCGTAATCAAAGGAGCTAAATATGCTAACAGAGTTTTAACAGACTTGAAGAAAATCCCCAAATCCAATTCAAGAACCAGAGTAGGGTGTGGAAACTAGTCACATCCATAGGTGTTAATAGGATACCTGCCCACTTTAGATTGCTACCCTCAGTTTTGTCCCTAGTCCTCCAAACACTGTTTAGCACAGTGTTTCTCAACCTTGGCAACTTGAAGATGTCCAGACTTCAACTCCCAGAATTCCCCAGCCAGCATTCGCCCAGGATCAGTGACTCCCATGACAATATAAACGGCTGAGGTACAAACGCCAAAAGAATCAGCCTAGGGATTTGCTGAAGTATTGCATAGTCTTCCCAAAATGTCAAGTTCATCTCTTGACTAAAAAATAAAGTTTAGAATGCACCTAAATGTAACTTAAAACAGACAGGATGTGAAACTCAACATTTATGGGAGGGAATGTAAGAGTAGGAAAGAGGGGACTCAGGGCAGCGCACAAACCCAAGGAGGGGAAGGGAAACACAAGAACTACAACAAAAAGTACA